AGATAGAGAGTGGTGAAAAGGTGGGCGTACATTATAGCCACCGAGCTTCCTTGGTCGACGAGAATGCGGCGGACGTCAAAGTTAGTCATCTGAGCCTTGATCAGCAGGGGAATACTGGAGTTGGGGGCGCCGCCCAGAAGCTCTTCAAGGCAGAAGGTGGCCGGGTTCGAGTTCCCCTTGAACTTTTCGAGGGTGGCGTTCTTCTTTGAACTCTTGTCGATCAGCTCCTCAAATTTCCTTTTGATCGACCCTACTGAGAGTTTGCTGGGACCCTGCCGGATATGAGCATCGTGGCTGGAAAATTCTCCCAAGAGCTGCGAGCGGACAGCATTGTGTTGGCCTCACAGGGGAGGTAGAAGTCCTCTGTTCGAGAGTTGCACAAGGCGACTTGTAGCCCAATCTCGTCGAAGAGTGGTGGCACCTCCTTGACCCTCTTCGCCTCGTGAGTTTCATGTCGAAGAGCCTTGTTCCTTCTAGTGTATTGCTTCAGGTGTCTTTCCTTGATTAGGATTTCGATGGCATCCTTGAGGTGGACGCAATCTTCCTTGACGTGTCCATGGCTCCGCTGGAACCGACAGTACTCGAACTTGTCAACGTTGGGCTAAGGGGGAGTTAGCTTTGGGAAGCGGACACCACCTCGTTGGAACTCCGAGTTTATGCACTCGGTTGGAATGCGCTCGCGGGGAGCTGTGAGGAGCGTGTATTCGGTGAATCGGCCAGCTGGCCCCTCTGTTCTCGGGAGTCCCGGGGCCGATATTCTTTCCTTCTCTCGCCGCCTCGTCGGGGTGCGGAAGTGTCTTTGTGCTTGAAATTTCTGGCACTTTCCAAGTCCTGCGATCGCGGGCGCAGTTGGCGGCCTCCTTCTCCTCGTACTAGATATATGATTGGACCTTGTGAGGAGTGTGCCTAACGTGTTAGGTCTTTCGATCCCGACGGCCTTGGTAAACTCAGTGCAAGGTCGCAGTCCTCATTCAATCAAATACATATTCATGTCGTCCGAGGTAGACACTTGCATAGCTTCTTGATTGAATCTCTCTATATAGTCCCTAAGAGATTCTTCCTTCCCCTGGATGATGGCTTTCAGGAATGCTTCCGTCTTCGGGTGTCGCCCGGAAGCAGTGAAGTGTTGGGAAAATTGCCTCTTCAGCTCTCTCCAGGAGGTGATGGACTCGGGCTCGAGACTTTTATATCACGCCATCGCCCATTTCCTCAAAGTCGTGGGAAAGAGCCTACACTTGATGGCTCCCCAGACGTTCCTGTAATCGAGCATCGCATCAATGCTTTCAATGTGGTCGTCTGGATCGGTCGTACCATCGTAGGTACCAGGATCGGGGGTTTTTCCATCCCGATGGGGAGAGGAGTCTCCTTGATAGCCCTGGACAACAGAGTGCGGGGGTCGTCCTCGTCGCTTCTAATGGGTGGTTGTGAGGGGAAAAGGTCGTACCAAGGGTTCCTGCAGCGTGGAGGGCTCCTCGGGCGACTTTTCGGCTTCCCAGCCTGCCCGTCAGCTCTGTTTCTCTTGGGAGTTGGGGAACGTCGCTCCTTCCGGGGAGAATGGTCACGCTTCTGGGCGGCCACAACCGAACGGCGTCCAGCTTGTCGCGAAGAGGGACTCTGAGACATATCATGTTGCGGCCTCTGCGGGGGAGGTGAAGGATGGGTTTCTCGTCGTCGCGGGGATGGGCTGAGAGAAATCGGGCGATGGTATCTCCGCAGGGGAGAGAATGATTGTCGATCTTTTCCAACCTTCTGATATGCTCGTTTTGTTGAAAGATCATCAAGTTTGTCTAATTGATTTTCGCGAACAAAGTCACCATGGTCGGGTCGGTGTTGGGGGCACAGGGATTGGTTGGAAGACAGTCGGGTTATGAAAGCGTCGGTCGGCGTTGACGGTCGCATCGTCGTGGGAGTGTGAGGCGGTGTGCCCTTCTCTGTTGTCGCCTTCCTCGACATGAGCGGTCACGTTGGAATCGTGATCGTCGCCGTTGGTAAACGGGGTGAAGGCGGTTTCATGGATGTTGTCGTCATTGCGTGGGCTAGCCTTGATTAACGGAGGTTGAGGTATGCTTTGGTTCTTGGATTTCTTTCAGAAGGAAGAACGGAAAAGCAAGTTTCTCACAGACGGCCCCATTGATCTTACTGAATCAGAAAAGGATCAACAGCCAGCAATACGTCGTGAGCTCCTTAGTTCGTCGGTGGTGGAGAAGAGGAATGGGTCTACCTGCAAGGTACTCTGATGCCAAAGTAAGAGACAAAGTAGAAAGAGCAAGTCCAAAGAAAGTGTGTAGAGAATTGAATATCTGACCCTCTAGTGAAAGAGGGTATTTATATTGTGCCCCCAGCGCTGGGACAACTGTTACTTTGCATTGGGTTGGATTTCAAGGCCTAATACGAGTAACTGTCAAGGCTTACGTGGCGTAGGGAGACCAACATGTGGTATTCGCCCTGGGCAACTACCATGTGACCTTCGGGAGGTGGGTAGTTGTCTGATGACGTGCTCCCGCGTGGGGAACACGTGAAGTCCGTGGAGGAGACGTATGAGAGCTCCCCATGTGTGCTGATGGAATGGGCCTTCATTAAGTGTCCCCGACGAGGAGTTGGGTTGGGTCGTGCCCGACGGTGGGTCAGCCTCTGACCCAATCCAAAATAGTTATGATTGAAACAAATAAGATAATAAAAATTAATAGATTAAATGAAACTAATAAATAGTATTTTATAAATAAAAAATTAGCATCCAATAATAAATTAACACAATATATTATACTAATAAAAAATAAATAAGTATAAAAATATATACATGCGATTCGGATTGGTTTAGATCGGTTTTAAAAAATCAATCCGAAATTTGTTCTGAACCAAGCAGTTTTTACAAAATGACATCCAAACACATTCAATAATTTTCGGTTTTTTGCAGTTTAGTTTTTTTGGATCGGCTTGTGGATATTATTTGGATCGCTTTGGATTTCAACACCCCCTAGCCATTCATCCTCCTAGGGACAATAATGGAAAAGATAATAGCATTTTGAGTGGTTCTAAGACTGGAGAATTTTCTGTCAGTAGTGCATATTGTAACACTAAAGGCCGAAGAGGGCAGAGAGTGGATGTAACACTCGAGGCTGAAGAAGGCAGAGAGTGGTCTCCAAATTTACATCAGATTGGGAGGGACCCTAAGGCTGTGTAGGGATGAGACTACATGGTTGAGGAATGCTTATAAGGATTGATTGGTACTACGTATACCAACAAGATGCATTTTCTTTTTTTAAACCTAACAAATAAGAACTTCATAATTAAGGAAGTTTGACTTGGAGAAGTATTCGGATGGATGACCTTCTAGGAAGTTTTCGGAAGCGTGTGATTGAAGACAAAGCATGCTGAAAAGACTTGTGTTGATTTGTGGGTCAGTCGATAATCTTAAAAGTAGTATGGGGCGTTACACATACCAATACATCAATTTGAATGGCATAGATTATGAGCAAAATCATATGTGAAATAGAATATGTTCCTTGAAAGTTCTAAAAAGAGAATCAAAACCTTTATTTGGTTAGTTACGCATGAAAGTATCCTCAAGGTCCAAACTATGTGGATTGTGTTGAGGAAGTGGAAACTGTGATTAAATGCATTGTGTGATCAACGCAGGTTTGCAGGATTGGCTGGAGATGAACATGCAAAGTAATCTTAGGCACGAAGATTTGGAGGATAGGAGATCTCTATCGGCAACTATATACCACTCTCCTTGGTTTTGGAAAAACAAAAAATTACATGATAGAAATTTTGTGATCCTACTGTGTTGTCTGAAGATATCAAAAACATGTTGCGATTCTACAATATAAGTCTCAAAACTCAGCCGATTTTGAGCATCAATCACGAGGCTCTAATGCACGTGTTGGACATCTCCCCGAGAAGGTTGGATATTGATCATTACTAATGAAGTGGCTAAGCATAATGGCAAAACTGGTTGCGACAGATTACTTCGAGACTCTCGAGGAAGGTGGCTTTGAGGATTCTCCAAAAATATTGGATTTTGTATTATGGGGTATTAAGGGTCTCAAATTTGCCCAGGAGAAAAGGAATAAGAAGATTGAGTTACAATCCAACAACAAAGCTACCATGGAGGCAGCTGGCAGTTACAATCCAACAACAAAGCTACCATGGAGGCAGCTGGCAGTATATCTTTACATTAGTATATCTTCACATGTCAAGGAAGGATGTGGCATCCGCATCAAATCATACACTGCTTGAATGATAGTTGGGAAGTTAGAACCAACTATATCCATGATGAGGTTAACTTGCTATGGCCAACAAAAGCCTACAACATAAGCTTGGTACTCAAATTTATCATGATTATCTAGATAATATCGCTGAGCTGTTAACTAAGGATGTAGCAAGGATTTCTGTCCCCGAGTTATAGCTTTTTAGTTTGTTTTCTTTCACAAAAAAGAAGAAAAAAAACATCGAAACTACTTTCCATTCAACTTAAATCAAAGGGACGGAATGGTGACAAAGTATAATGAAACGAAACTGAAAAGGAATTTCATTCCATTTGGGTATTTTATGGAGCCAAAAAATTTCTTGTCCAAATCGTAGAGAACTGATACCACTCAAGTTCACTTGATCAAACAAATTTGATATTGTCCTTTAAAAGGAAACTGGTGACATACTGTACTATGTTTTAGACTCAAACACAACATACACATTAGCACAACTATTATTTGTAGAGCACAGAAATGTTTCAATATCTAATCCAATGAATATCAACACACACACTTGGCACATTTTAAACTAAAAATTATAAATAATTATAAATTCAATTTAACAAAAAGCTATTGTAAATTTGTAACCATTAACAAATTATTACAACATTTTGAGGGAGAGATGAGCAATGAAATGAAATTTGCCTATACTATACTAACCCCAACCAATACAATCTAGGAACACCCTTAACCCTTTTTTCTCTCCAGCATGAAAAGAATAAGAAAAGCCGCCAAAAAAGTATCAAAATTTCAACTTCTCTTAGATGCCAATCTCACTGTTTTCCCTTCAATACAGAAATTCTTACTACCTGCCAGCTGAAATTCAAGGACCAAACCATGTGAGTGTGTGGAAAATGGAGCGCCAAATTTGTAATAACTTAACTATAGTTGTGACGCATAGTAACATTACTACAAGCTTCAAAAAGTTTTATATTGATATGTTTTAGATTTTGATTTTAGGGTTTATGCAATGCAAATTAAAAAGGAGATTCCTTTTACTTCAAAAAGGAAATTTGAAAGAAAAAAATCCACTTACATCCAAATCTAAAATAGAACAGAAAAAAGTTGATTACATGCTCTTCAAATAAGCCATACCTTTTGCTTCAAGTAAGAAATAGCTTCTTTTTTAGAATAGCCAGACAAAACTGAAGATGAATGTTCTTCAATAAGAACTTTTAGCTGTTTCAGTTTCAATGATTTTCCAGGCACCTGTACATAAAGTGATAAATCAATCATGATTTCATCATCAAGGAGAAAATTTTGCAGCAGGCGTGAGAATTAGGACTTACCTGTTTTAAAATTTGTTTACACAACTTCTTCAGCTTCAATTTGGGTTCAACAATCTTTTCTACCTCGTCATCTGTTTCATTTTCCTGAGAATCTATGTCACCTGAATCTTCATCATCACTATCACCAAATGACGTCTTTTTACCCTCAAAATAGCATCCAGCTACTTTTTTGGGCCTGTCTTTGTTGCCTAATCCTTGCTTTCCTGTTGTGGCTTTATCCTGGCATAGTAACAACGGTTCCATTAATATTTACACCCTTCAGGTTCGAACATGAAATATATATCATAATATAGCCCTAGAATTCAAGATATTAGTAGAACACCACCAGCAACCATGGTTGTCAAGATCTCAATCTAGATCTTAAAATCCCAAGATTTTACGATCTCATTCACCTCGAAGGCTCCATCGATCCAGATCTTAAGTAGAATCTTGTGTTGTAGCCAAATTGTGAAAAAAAAAATCATAAATTCATTGATTTTGTGAGATCTTTGCCAGTTTCGATTATGATTGGCCGTTTTTTGGCCACTAACATTAAAAGGTGAGAAGAATGACAAGATGCACAGGCGCAACAATTTTGGTTCAACGGGAACAAATGTGTGTCTTTTGAAATTATGAAGTTTTAGATTTAGGGTTTTGAGAATAATCATCTCATTTATAGGATTTGTTTTAACTAATTGATTTATGATAATCCTAGTCATTGATCAAATATGTCCTTAACATCTAACAAATGTTCCATGTGGTAGTAATAAAGTATAAAAACTCAATCACACATGTCTAAAGAATATGAAAAAGAGTCATTTTCTCATGAATACACTTGCCTACTAAAACATACTAACACGTACTAACACATATCATTGTAAAAATACTCTAAAAATAAACTATTATTTATTTATTTTAGTAAGATTGATTTTTGTTGCGATCTTATGTCTTACGATCTTATTACCCCCCTCGATCTTACAAAAATAACTGGGTAGGATCTTCCGATCTTAGGTACGACTTTATATTTTACGATCTTAATATTCTCTACTGATCTTATGTAAGATCTCGATTTTGACAACCTTGCCAGCAACCATCTTTCATATAAGTGAAGGTCATAGGCAAACATACTATAGTTATCATATGATAAAATAATATAGAGCATATATATCATGTTTGAAAGGAACATACTTGGACTAAGTTGTAGAGGTTTTCTTGATCTTGTTCAAAAAAAGGAGTTCTCGCCATCCCAGCTTTAGCACTTTCAGATGTAGAGGTCTTTCTCTTCTTTGATGTTGCACCAAGTAATCCACCAGAGACAAACCCAAACTTTAAGCCCCACCACTCTGGATGGATATCAGGACATTTGCTTTCTGTAACAATGCCATATAGACTGATTGAGGAAACTACATTTATGTATACCTATATATAATCTGTATCTATACATCTATATGATGGGTATAGCAAGTTTTAGTGTAGCTTTTTTCTTCCAATTTAATAATTAATTTAAACACTACTATTTCCAATTTAATCTTTCTTTACCTGGTCAAATTGTTTAATTTAATCATAACTTCAAATTTGAATCAAATCAAATTTTGATCTAATCCTATTTTTTATCATGGTGAAGGCTAACTATGGTCTTCAGTCAAGAAAAGTGGCGTGTTTGTGTGCACTCTAGTACAAAATAATATATGTGCAGAAAAATAATATCAAAAATACCAAAGTAAGAACATGGAAGTACAGGGACTCTTTTTCCTTACAGCATCCTACTAAGAGAATCTTATCAGAATTTCCATGCACAAATACATTTGTTCCAAGGAACAATACACCTCAGATGCCCATTTTCTTTTTCAATGTAAAATTAACAATGTGATTAAGCTAAATCAAGGGAAATTAGCTAGGTGAAAAAGAGTATAAAAAATATATAACAGCTACAATTCTCCTAAAACAAATATCTTTCTTTGGGTATTTCTTAGGGGCTGAGTGACCCTACAAACATGTTAATGAAGTCCAACTATCATATGTAGATATGCATGTTACATACAATACAAATAACATAAAAACTTCACTATAATTCTAGCCCATACCTTCAACTTCAATATCTTGAGTTTCAGATGTCTTTGACAAATCCAAGTCATCCTCAGCATTGTCAATATTCTCAGATATGTCACCTTTTTTAACCTATCACCAACATTATAGAAGTAAACAATCAGTGTCACCGTTCTATTTAATAGAATTGAAATATTAATATGCATTTAAGAAGCTTGATTATTGAAAATTCTAATTGTATTGAGATTTCTATTAGCCTGGCACTCTGACTCCGACAGCACGATCAGCTTGACACACTGATTCAGATATTCACATTCTAAGTAACAGCAACTTCTTTTTGAATAAAATAATCACAAGGAAAATAAAGCTTTGGTGCAACAATTAGACTTGGTAAAGTGAGAATAGAATAAGACTTTGAGACATTGAATGCTGAACTAGTAAATGTATGGCAAGGTTCACTCCAATAGTGCCACTTCTTTATAACAACGTGTAGTCCTTTTTCTAAAGGAACACAGAGAGCAGCTGATTTTCAAGCATTCTTTAACATAATGAAATTGGAGGAGATTACAATCTATGGGTATATTTTCTGCTTAAGTTTAATGAAACAACGCACAAAAGGTGTACATCCTCTAGTGTTAAACTATGCAACTGATCCTTGAGAATTGCAACACACATGTGCCCGTGTGCAGCCATTGCAAATGATAACAAAACCCATCAAATGTAAACCTGGCTTCTAAAATGAAATAATGACCATGTATGAGTTCTTGGATGTTTTCCAGATTCAATAATCTAAACACGGAATTATATTTAATGAATATGACTCTAATAACCACATATAGAATATAACTCAAATAACCACATATAGAATATAACTCAAATAACCACATATAGAATATAACTCAAATAACCACAAATTAAGACGAATTGATGAATAGAATTATAGAATCAGAAAATTTTAGTTAGAGGCTTATTTTGTCCAGGAAAATTGTCTAGTGCCGACCAACTGATTTTGGAGGCAAATAAAATGCATTCCATTTATAAAACTACATCAACCATTAGATATGATATTTATCTCAAAACAAAACTCAACATCTTTACATGGCAACAAAGCGGCCTACACAGCACTACTGCCTTTTTTAGTGCATATCAAACAAAAAAATAATTACAAGTAAATTATTCAGATTCCTTAAGATGTAACACTGAATGGTGTATCCAATGTTAGAACTTACAAGAATTCCTTCAAGGTCCTTTAAGGAATATTGAGAGACGCGCTTTCCCCTCTCTCTTTTCTGGTATCTGAAAATTAGCAAGTCAAAACTCACATGTATGGCTAAAATAAACATTAAACAACACCGTGAATCAAAACCGTACAAACCTTCCTTGTGGTCTAGTAGACCTTGATACAGAAACAGGAGGATCAACTGAAACAGCCTGATCGGCCTCGGTTTCCACCTCCGCGGTGTTACTCTCTACACATGCAACAGAAGATAAAATTCAAACCACCATTATAATCATTAACATAGAAAGAGAATGCAAGATTTCACTCAAAATGACAACAGAGTAATGTTATACCTGGGTCATTTGAAACAGGCGCTTGCTATCAGTACAAAAAAGAAAGACTTTAGTGAACAGAAAATTAATTGTATGCGTGAATTAATGAGAATTGAGATAAAAATAATAAGGTGAGGAATGAAAAGAGAAAACATACAACTTTCAATCGCTTGAGTATGTTATCAAATTGTGTAGTGTCAAATGCCCACGGGTTTGGCTTCTCTAATCCAATACCTATTTAAAATTGAACAAACAAACTAAGAGTGTGTTTAGTTATGGGTGAAGAAAACTGATTTTGAGTGAATTGATTATGTAAAACTGATTCTAACTAAAAGTGAGTTGAAGGTAGAGTGATTTATGTTTGGATAAATTTCTTAAAAAGTGGGTTGAAGAATATACTTCAGTGTAAAAATCATATTTAGACTTAAAAACTACAAATTCTAACTTCAAGTAGAATCAATTCAAGAAAGCATAATCAATTCTACTCGAGAGCAACCAAACATGTCAAAATCAGTTCTACACGTCCTAAAGCAAGTCAAAGTGTTCTATATGTGAAACCAAACATACACTAAGTGTGTGTTTGGTTTTGAGGTGACAGGAATTATTCTTACTGAATTGGTTTTGTAAAATTGATTACGTTTAGAAGTGAATTGGATGTAAAGTGATTTATGTTTGAATAAAGTTGTGCAAAAGTGAGTTGAACCACAAATTTCGGTGTAAATATCGCATTTAAACTCAAAAGCTATAAATTATATCTTCAAGTAAAATCAATTATGGAGACAGCATCAATTCTACTTTAAAAAAACCAAACTCCTCAAAATCATTACAAAAACAATTCTAATTGCTTTTGGATCTTTTAAAAGCTAAGCATTGCTTAACATAACATAATAGAATACAAAAATTGCTTCAATTATTCTAATACAGTTTGATTGATCTATAAACTAGGTATGTTAAACAAAGAGTAAATTGATCAAAAAAGAAAAAGAGAAACAAAACCCAAACCAGTAGTATCTTGCTTGTTGGTGACACGGACATGTCCTTTGATCCCTTGCTTATCTTTTCCAAGGCCTTCACCTTCTTCCCATCCCTAAAACAAATTGAGTTCAATATACAAGCAATAACAAATGGAAAATTAGGATAAAAGAGTAACGAGAAAGAGAGGAGTGTGACCATTTGCTTCATGAGATTGAAAGCGGCGGATCGTCTAGAGACACCCACGTAACACAGAGGAGTTTCGGGTGCCGCCATGGCTCCTCTGATTGATTGCAGCGCCGCTGGTTTTTCTCGTGTTCGAGTGATTTGGCCACGCGATGCTCTGTTTTGGTTTCAAATGTTGCTGTTAGGGCTTTCGTCCATGGAAATATCTTTCGAATATGATACTCGGTTGTGGTGCGGGTCGAGTTCGGTTGGGCCGATGTTAAACCCTGTCCGGTCCAATTATAATGGGCTAACTAATTCGTCTCCTTTGAGGTTTCTTCCTGACAACTCCAAATTTTATTTGGCACCCCACAACCATTATGTTTATCTCATTAACCCTGCATACAATTATAATCTCATTCACAAAAATTATTTTGAAATATTTCGATTTTTTCAAAAGCTCTATAATTTTCTTTACATTTCATAAACACTACCGGGTATTTGCAATTGATGACAAGTAAGTTTGTTTTTTACGGCATTTTTAGTATTTTTTAGATTTTTCCATGAATTTTTATGGAATGTTTGGAAAAACTCGATAAAAATGCAATGTTTTTTTCCGCATTTTTTTTAAAAATCTGATAAAAATGCATATATTTTTCTGGTATTTTTGAAAATTGTGGTGAAAATATAAATGTTTTCGGATTTTTCAAAAAAATCGGTAAAAATGCATATGTTCAACCGGACATTTCAAAAAAATCTGGAAAATTTTTGTATTTTTACCAGATATTTCCAAATATGTGGAAACCTCATAATTTTCTAATTTTTTTTGTAAAATTTGGTAAGTTTAAAAAAATGTGTTTTTCAGTGAAAACTAGAGGCACAGATGGTACGATTGTTGGTCGACAGTGTGATAGAGTCGTTGTTGCAAGGGACCGAGAGAGGGGAGGTGACGTAAAGGACTTGCATCTTCAGGAGGAGAGAGTGACACCGACCGGTTCTCACAAGATACGGTTGGCTGATCAGACTCAATTTCATGCACCCCACATTATCCGACGTAGAGGATCTATATTTGCTTCTGGTAAGACGAAAGATAATGAGGATAAGTCAGTTGATGTCCAATCACCGGTTCAGGATGACGTACAGGTGGTGGCAAAAATAGATATGCCTCATGTAGCAAAGACAGAGGTGCCCCATACTTTTGAGACGGCAGAGGTACCTCATCCTTCTAAGACAAAGGCAACAACTACTATAGAGGTTACTCCAGAGATAAATATCACTACTCTTCATGAAACAGATGTTATTGCTCCTTATGAGACAGCATCTACTTTGACAGGCCTGTCTGAACACACGGATGAAGGGTTTGCTGGTTGGCCCAGTGACTGTTCCCACATTATATACGGATCGTGTGGCATTCAAATTATGGCAAGAAGAGGTAAGTATATGATATGCTAATGATGTGACTATATTTATCATTGATAATTTAAATTAAATAATGCTTTTTACTTTGTTTGTTATGGGATCGTTTGTCGTTTGAGGTGCTCACGCATGGGTTTAATTTGAAGAAGTTCTTAGGTGTCGAGATGCCATCGAAGGTGAAGGAGATAGTTGAGGATTGCGGTCTCCTTCCACTAGTGGATTGTTTTTTTACCATGCTCGACGGTCAGCTGTTGACAACCTTTGTTGAGTGATGGAACAGTGAGACATCTTCCTTCTATCTTCTATTTGGTGAGATGGCGATTACATTGGATGATATCTCCTCACATTTCCATATTCTGCTGGCAGGTAGTTTCTTCATTGTTCATATCATTAGTCAGAAGATTGCCCATGCGACAATTGTACAATACTTTGGGGTTATTGAGTAGTAGGTGATAGTTGAGTTTAAATTCATGAAGGGTGCCCATTTTCTCCTATCTTGGTACGGGATAGGTATGGTGATCTAGTGCATTAGTGTATGTATGAGGTAGTCGCTATGGTATACATGTTACATCTTGTAAGATGTGTTATCTTAGAGAGTGAGTCTTGTGTATATATCAATGTGAAGTACATGTGGTTGTTTTACATTCTTGAGCATTAAAGCTGGGTATAAAGGTGTATTGCATTGAGTGTTCTATATGTTGCCCTTGGAGAGGAGACCGTTTTTTAGACGATAGAGCTTGCCGGTTATATCAGTCTATTTCAGGTATAACTAAATTATTTATTTTTTTCATTATGTTAGTTTTATCTATGACATAATTTCTTATTATTTGAGTCTTTGTTGGACATACGAGCATTTCTCGTCCATTTTTGACAATTGTGTTATTGTTACCACTGCTGGGTCCCCACGCGTTATAATATCAAAAGTACTTTTCTCTTTTTTCCATTGACTTCGTGTTGCAAAATTTTCTATTAGTCATAAAAAATCTGAAAGTTCATACAAAAAATATGGTATAGGTTTTTACTTTTTACTAGATTTTTTAAATATATGATGCATATCAAAAGATTTATACTTGATTTTTCAAAAGCAATTGGTATATTGAATAGTTCCTTACACCCCTTAAAAGGGCAAACACGTACTTAGAAAGTTTCATCTCATTCGAGAAATTGTTGAGAGAGGGATGTAATAGTTAGTAAAGTTCATAAGCATAGCAATGTTGTTGATCCATTAACTAAACCATTGCCCCAACTCAAGCATGAGAGTCATACTAAGGCTATAAGGCTTAAGCATATTGGTGAGTTGATTTGATTTCGTATTATTTACTTTTACTTAGTTCGCAATTTCAAAAACACTTGATTATGTTTTTTACAAGTTTATCAATAAAGTTATAATCTCGTTTAAAATTGGTTTAATATTAAATAATATGTATATAGTATCTATAATGTTTGATACGATTGTCAAATACGTGATTTTACAAATGAAACCATATCTAGTGAACAAGGGTTATAACGTACTTTAGTCCCTAGTTTAAATCATTAAGTTGGACATAAATTATTCAATTTCATTGACTAGATTGTAAGTTAATTGGTAACATAGTTTTATGGGCTATGTGGACATGGAGATGTCTAGTCAATTACTTAAACTTGTATAGTTGATATACGTCGGACAGGCCCACTAAGAATTCACCAAAAATGTTTTGAGAATTTGTTGTTATGTTTAATGGATTCCTTATACATGAGTATGACATTATTCTCATTTGAGGATCGATATATTTGTGATACTGTAAAATGTTGTGTCGTAAAAGGAGGCTATAAAGGCAGTGATTGGAATTGACAATAATTAAGTAGATTCTTGGTTATACAAGATTGGATAAGTCCTCTTAAAAGGTTAGGATTGGTGTCTCGGGCCTCTTAAAGAGCGAGAATTAGGAAATGCATGGTCGTGCTCAAATGGATTAAGGAGTTAATCATTTGTTTAGACATTTCAAGAAATGTATTGAAGGTTGATATTAGTGACATTGGATGTCATCATATCATCAAGTTGGACATTGATTTACTTAAGAAAATTTGAATATTACACACTTGTTTTTAGACAAGTGATAGATTGGAGGATTTTTTCGTTCGATCAAGTGTAAAAATCTAAATATAATTGGACAATTTATGGAGATAAAATATTCAACAATATTAGGTGATCATAAGGATTTGCTAGAAGTCAATTATGTTTTATTGAATAAAGAGATTAGACCAATTACTAATATTATTGGGTCCTATATGGTCACACAAATAGTAACATAAGTATTAAATTGAGAGTTTATGGATTGGAAGAGAAATGATACTAATATGGTTGATTAAGTCACATAATGTATGAAATTATGAGCTTAATCAATTATCCTCCATTTAACTTCATATAAGATAGAGGTTACATGGTGAAGAATATATATGACTGCATTCTCTTCCTCACATCTTTATCTTCTCCCTAGCCATAAAAGTAAAGAAAGAAACGTGTTCCATCCTTCTGTACTAGCATACATGGTGATATGGTTGTTGCTCGTGGACTAACACTAAAGGAACAGCGTTTGACGTTCTCAAAGATCTCCATTGGAAACTATCACCTTCGTGGATTCAAGCATCAAAGGTATATAGTTTTATACTTAGTATGATTCATATTGATATATACATGATGATTTAAGGATTAGACGTAAAGAATAAGATTCTTGAAATTTTGCTATAAGCATCTAAAATCCAACAAAAACAAGGTACATGGTGGGATCAATGTTTAAGGTATAATATCTACTGCATTCTGATTTTTGTGTTTAAAACACATTTAGATGATAAAAACACGTACTAGTTATCATCATTGCATTGCATTTATATTTTGTTAATTATGTTGATGTAGCAACAACAACATTGTTGAACCAAATATTGTTCATCAACTAAAAACATGTTATATGAAAAAATACTCGTACAAAATGCTTTAGAATGGCAAGATATACACTAAGAAGTGGTCAGATCAATAATCTAAAGCTTAAACTAATGTTATAAATAAAATTTAATAGAATAATTTATAATAAAACTATTCTATATGAAGAGTCTCCACTCATAGTAGGTGATATAGACACTAGGAACAAAAGAGATATCAATAAGGAGAAATAAAGTGTACAAATCAAAAGGACTGATAAATTCCAACTGGGTTGCCTTGAATTTAAGTATCCTTTGATTTTCATATGAAGAAGATTGTTGAAAGCTAGATGTTCTCCATAGACAAAAGGTTGGTTAAAGTATCTCAAAAAGAAATCTCTTTGCAATCAAAAAATGGCTTCCATTTATTATGTCTATAAATAATGAGTCTCGAGCATTACTACCACTGAGAATATTATTTCAATAACTTTTTGTTTATTTACCATGATGGAATTTGAAAGATTGTCGTTGTTATGAAAAACGATATCTTGAAACAAAGTATAAACAGTTTCTTTATGATTAAGAAACACACAAGGGTTAGGGTTAACGGAAAAACAAGAAGAAGAACAACAAGGATTGGTTATAACTGTTATTCTTTACTTTCCCTTTAAATCAGATTACAAGTGGTCAAGAATAACAAATAACCCTCTCACCCTAATTAGGATTTGCCACACTTAAGATGAAAGACTAGTATGTTATTTATAATAAAACCTAACATACTAAACTAATGGGATTTTTAA